AGGACTTTTACTGTAACAGAGTATTCCTGCTCTCTGAGTACTTCTACTTTTACTCAAGTACAAGATCTGAGTACTTCTACTTTTACTCAAGAACAAGATCTGAGTACTTCTACTTTTACTCAAGAACAAGATCTGAGTACTTCGTAGTCATATCATTAGCTAGAACTAGCTGGATCTGATCGATATGGACATAAAGCGAGTGAAGTCTAATCTGACGGAGAGAGTCAGCTGCTGCTGACGAGTCGACACGCAGCTCTGCATGATCACATGCAGCGGTGAGCGGACAAAACACACACTTCAGGTTAGAATATCACACGTAGCTATTTTAATTACCTCCCAAACTACCGTAACTAGTTATAGATATGTTTAGTTTTACTGTCGGGTCACTCATTACTGATGCTGCATGATACTGACGGGCTGTCAGGGAGGGAGAGAGCGCTCCGTTTATTATTCCGTTTATTGAATTACTGCGGCACTTTTCTCATTTAGTCCGGAAGATTTAAATTTTAACGGACATGTTGACCGGCGAAAAAATATTCTAACTGGAACTCTGGCGTGGTGATGTCACTGCATTCCGGAACTTTGGGATGTGAACACCTATAGTGTACATTTAAAAAAAAGAGAAGTAAAACATGTTTAAAAAGTGAGAATTTTAGAAAGAAGTTACATTTTTTGAAAGATTTCAGAATTAGAAAATAATATTTTAGAAAAAAGGGAGAATTTTTGAAAAATGTCAGAATTTAATTTGCATTGATTTTTTGTTGTTGTTATTCTAAATACATTTTTTTTAAAAAGGCCAAACATAGTGTCATTCTTTTGGTCAATGTGTTGGAGCATTAGGGAATAGGAGCGCGAGTGTTCCGTAGTGATGTCATTATGTTCCAGAACTTTGGGATTTTAGCCTTTTCAGACCATTTACATGCACTAAAACCTATTGAACACACTACAGGAGAGGGAATCAAGACATATGTGGTGCAAACAAACCTTCTGTCCGTCCTCTACAGTCTGCTCTGGACGCATCACCACCTGAACAAACAAACAAAAAAGTTATTAAGGCAGAGGGGGGGGTCGGGAGGTGATCTTAATCTAATAAAAAGGTTTTATATTCCTCAAACTACAAGTATATAACATTTTGAAACTACACGGAGAAAACTAGACTTTGAGATACTTTTCTGATGATTATGGGATGATATCTGATGATCAGGAGTTGCTAATGAACCATTGGCTTATTGGTTCATTATTAAGAACACTGGTTAAAAGACGGGTGTGTTTCAGTGTGTGTGTACCTCCAGCTCCATGTAGTTTCCAAGCCCCTCCACAGCGTCCAGGTGAACTCGGGTCTGACCAATCAGGAACAGCCGTCGCTCCTTACGCACCTCCCCTTTAACCCCGAGGGCGTCTGACAGCACCGTCTACACACACACACACAAAGTTATTTATATACACTTACATATATTTATAGGGGCATTAAGTCAGTATTTGAGTGTGTTACCCTGAGAGAGGGGGGGTCGCTGGTCGGGCTGATGGAGTAACGCGACAGTTTGGGTCCGTCGGTGTCGGGGCGCTCGTAGAAGATCAGCTGACCGGACTGGTCCTGATGAATAAAAAAAACAAAACAATTATAGTTTCTTTGCCTTCATTTAAAAAAAAAAAATATGACTCACACACACACACACGCACGCACACACGCACGCACGCACACACACCATGAAGTCTCGCAGCTTCAGGCGTCCCTGGGTGCAGCTGAAGAACGTGTCGTGCTGTTTGATGATCGTGCCCTCTGATTGGCTGAGCTCTGCTGCCCTCGCGGCGAATCGCGTCGGGTCGCTCACTTTGGCTTTGATCTCCACATTAGACGGCATGACTCTACTGAGCATGTGCACAAAGGAGAAACTATCAAATTACAGGATTTCAGAAAAAAGTGAGAATTTTTGAAAAAGTGAGCATTTTGAAAAAAAAAAAAAAAATTTAATGACAGAATTTGGATTATTGAGAATTTTAGAAGAAAAGGGATTTTTTTTTGAAAAAGTTAATTTTTTGAAAGAAAGTAAAAAGAAATTGATGTTAAAGTGAGAAGTTTAGAAAATGTAGACAAAAACTCTTACACTCTGAATTAAAGCAAATTTTAGTAGAAAATAAAAATGAAACATCTCATAATAGAGAATACAACTTAAAAAAATGGTAAACATGTACAAGTTGACCATACGTAGCCTATATGTAGACCATCTGTCAAATAAACACAATGAAGGGCCATAATGATACTTATACTTTTACTTGACCACATTTTTATTCAGTATTTGTATCTGTTTATACACTGTACTGCTGGTAGCGTTGGCATAAACATGAACCTGTTACAGTACAGTAAGCTATGTCATATGCTAACAGCATCATCACATGGGCCAGCTCGTTGGCTGCTAACTCCAGCTAACAAACATCATATTAAAGTTAACGGACCCTGACACTGCTGACAGAAGTTAAGTTTGTAGTTTAACCTGTTATCCGTGTCTCTGTCTCTCCGTGTGTTCACACTAGATTTTCCCGCGAAAAAACCCCTCCGGGGCGGAGCAGCAGCGATCTGAGAGCAGCTGGAGGACCAGGAAGAGGACCGAGAGAAGCGGGTAAACTGACTGCAGATCAGTGCTCTATAACGGGGGAGAAACATTTCTACAGGAGGTACTGCTCACTGCTCCATTTAATCGGAGACGATCTACGGCTGCGCAGAAGACACTGTATAAAGGAAACGAAGACGTCTCACTCCGCTTATTTTTTGTTACATTCAAAGTAACCACATCCACCGTGGCTGCTTTTTAAGGAATACTTCTTAATATGTATATATGTGTCTGTTAATTCTCAATATACGTCCATGAATACCCACCCGTGTTGTGTTTATTTTGCTATTAGGATTATGTTTTATTTTGTAATGTAAAATATTTATTCTGTTTCAGGCATTTTTATATTTTAATCACATTTTTTACCTTATTTTCTATTTTTATTCTTACTCTTTTATTTCAATTTCTTTGTTTTTCTTCTATCATTATTTTATAAAAACTTTACAAAGGGGGGAGAGACACATTTCTACAGTCTCTACGACGTATCACTCCGCTCCTTTTAGTAACAGCATAAAACATGCCTGCCTTTCAAATAAATGCTAATCATTTTTTTATTTATATTTTAATGATATATTTTTTTAATTCTTTGGATAATTTCTTACATAATCTTTTCTGTACGTTGATTTTAATTTCTATATATCTATTGTATTATTATTCATAGCATCCATCAACAAGATACAATTTCAGAACACTTGTCAATTAAGTCCTTATTGCAAATATTTATTATGGGATGTTTAATGGTGATATCTAGTGAGTAAGTAGTAAGTAATTTCCCCTCTTGTGAGTCTCTTCTTACTGACTTTTAATGATATGACTTCATTCAGTATTTCTATTTATACCTGTTCACCTCCACTCCTATGTATGCCAACACACACACACACACGTGTGTGTGTGTGTGTGTGTGGGTGAGTGTGTGTTTTGTGTGTGTGTGTGTTTTGTGCGTGAGTGTGCGTGTGTTGTGTGTGTGTGTGTGCGATGCCTGGCATTACTGGGCAACTGTAGAGAGTCGAGGTGGGAGGAGAGAGAGAGAGAGAGAGAGATGGAGGGGGAGGCAGAGGTTGTTTGGCATTTGTGAAAATACTAATGAGGAAAGAAGGAGCAGCGAAGAGGACAAACAAAGACGTCTGTGAGTAAAACACTTTAAATATAACAGTAATTAAGTTATAAAGTATCGAGAGTCGGTCTGTGTGTCCGTGTCAGAGAAACCGTATGAAGTGGTGCAGGGATGTCGTATTTCTGTGTTGAACTCCCCATAAATCCAATGGTGGTTTTTCCATTGGATTTGAGATTATTGCAGAAACTTCTCTCAAGCGTTTCTGATACTCACGGGTTTTGTAGTGAGAGAAAATAGGGAGGAAATTCAGATGAAAGTATAACATTTTAAATGATAACATCTTGGGTGTCTAAGAAATCAAAGTGGTACATTTACATAATATTTTGAAAACACTTTCATGATCAATCATTATAAAACATATATTATTATTCTGAAATGGACCAATCTGCACAATGACTACTTTTACTGTCGCTACTTTCACTATATTTTGATGAGAATACTTTTCTACTTTTACTTGAGGAACACTTTGAATGCAGGACTTTTACTGTAACAGAGTATTCCTACACTCTGGGACTATTACTTTTACTCAAGTACAAGATCTGAGTACTTCTACTTTTACTCAAGTACAAGATCTGAGTACTTCTACTTTTACTCAAGAACAAGATCTGAGTACTTCTACTTTTACTCAAGTACAATATATATATACTTATACCACCTCTGT